AAGTCCCCTTGCATGTAAGCAGCGATGCCGGTGAAGCTTCTGAGTCGATTTCTGTGAAGATGCCAGGTTGACACCCTAAACCAGCAGTCCGACGAAGCGGCGGCGATGCTGGTTGAAGAGATGAAGGACCTGGAAAAAGAGAAAACACTCTGCTCATGCCTCCATACATGTTACTAACATTGGCAGTCTGAGCAACCCTGCGGCAAACCTCATCTTCGAGCAGAGGAGCTCGAGCGACAGCTCGGTCTCGAAGAGAAGGCCACCGGGAGATCTCACACGCCACCAATGTCCCACATGAGTCTTTCACTGACTCTGCGCATGCTTTTTTTCACACTGAGGGTGCGATGTGTGGTTTGCCTATCTGGCCCTGGTTATCCATCAAGACCATGGAGAGTATAAATAAATATACATACATACATACATACATACATACATACATACATACATACATACATACACACACATATACATATATATACATATATGTATATTATATGTATGTATATATGCATATGTATATATATATACAGGTATATACAGTAATAATTCTGCATAGTCATAGTCTTTCGACTGCGAGGAGAATTGGATCACCGAGGATGAGCTACGACAGTGGCTTGGCTGTGACAGCCTGTTTCTGTGCCTCGCTAGATATGTTTTTTTTTCGCTTGTTTTACTGCAGCTGCAGCAATGCGGAAGCTGGTAAGGATCGGCGAGCTCGCGACCGACATGACGAAGCAGCTTAACTCTTACTCAGGCCTTGGCATGGGTTGGAGAGAGGGAAAGTTAAGGGTTTTCAGATCCAGAAGCTGTTGTTGCTCGGTGAGACGGGCATGTGGAAGAGCCGGGAAGTTGTCAATTCGAAGGCCACCTCGAACATGCACGGCACGGCCTGGCCATGAAGGCACACAGCCAGCAGGCGCCCTTGAGATTGGTAGCTTATGGGCTGTTGGGGGCTCAAGCTCTTTGATAAAGGGGTTCACGTCCAGCTCGGCCATAGCCAGCCGAAGTCTACACTGTTGACATTGAGCATGGCGCGTGGGGCTCTGATCCTTGAGGGCCTGTGGTGTCAAGATTTTGAGGGTCCTGATCATGGATAGCATGGTGGAGTCGAGGTGTGGCGAGAGCCACTAGTGCTAACTATCGCCTATCTGGACTTCTTGCTTCTGAATACAATAAACCTAGATGAACACATTGAATCAGCACATACATACACACTTATATGTATATATGTGTATATATGTATATATATATATGTATGTATATATATGTATATATATATATATATATACATATGGAATTCACTCGCACAGATAGAGTTGCAGCAGTGCTGGTGCGTTAAGAAACGTTGGCTGCCCCTTTGGAACCACAAAGCCCGGAACTTAACTCCGAGCACTCTGCGCAGGCAGCCATGCAGGAGCTGGAGCAAACCCGAGCGCGACAGGAGGCTTCCGGACCTTGGGGGAACAAGAACCACAAGCAACCTTAGTAAAGATGCGCGGATGCACAGTAGCCAGGCTCGCTTGAGAGATGCCACGAACTTGATGTGTCTACAACCCTGGCTCTTGCAGTGCAACTTCAGCCGAAATTCGGACGCTGAGACACAGCGCGGCTTGCACCTGCCATGGAGCAGAACTTTGGTGAAGAGCTTCCGGCGGCGACGGTGGCAGAGAAAAAGAAGCGCTTTCATGAATTTGATTGGTTCCGCGCCATCATGGTGGTCCTGGTGGTCTATGCCCATATTTCACGCAGTGGAGTGCCAGGAGGCGTCCAGGCGCAGATCTCACCAGATGACAGGATCTACACAGACAAGAATCCCTCTCCTTTCGCCGTACGCTGGATATCGGAGGTGAGGCAGTACTGCCTTCCACTGCTCTTCTATGTCTCGGGTGCTGCTTCTGCCTGCTCCTTCAAGCACGCACCAGGTGGCTTCGGCAAGATTGCGGTCTACACATTTCTAGGAGTTGCACTGAACGGCGTATTGTGGGTTATGGGCCCGCAGAATCCGGAATGTGATCCGGGCAGTTGTGTCACGCGTCCGGAATGCAAGGGTGCGGTGTTTGACTTCACAATCAGCCCGTGGTCGGGAAAGCTATTCCCGATCTTGTTCCAGATGTGGTATTGCGTCATGCTCGTAGTGTTCATGCTCATCAACTGGCCCCTTTTTGCCTACCTGCATCAGAAACGCTGTGGCGCTGCCATTCTGGTAGTGCAGCTTGTGGCCACGACGTGCTTCGTCGCTGCTTTTGTTTTCCTTGCCGGTGAGGAGATCGAGAATCCGATTCTGGTTGCATCGTTGAAGGTCGCGGGTGAAGCATTGTTTCTGGCCATTGCCGTTTTGACGCGGCCAGAACATCGACCGTCGTGGCTTCCTCTGCGCTTCATTCACTACGTGCTGGGACTTTTGATGTTCCTGGTCTTCGGCTGCGCTCCGATCACACCACGCATCGATTCTATTTCCGCCGGCTTCATCCTGTACATTTTTACTGGCTTTAACAAGTCCTTCCAGCTTGGATTCATCATCACATTGTCCCGCCTTCCAGGTCGTGAGGAAGCATTGCCGATCGTCAGCATCTACTGGCCCATGCTCGTGATTCTTCGAACGGCGACAGCACCTTCTACGAGTTGGTTTGCAGGAGGCAACTTGACATATCCTTATTACCCGCGCTTAGCGGACCGTGCGCTCTACGCAGCTGGCGCCGTTGTTGTGATGTTTGTGGTGGACAGGGCTGGTCGCCACATCGACTGCCAAGCCCTGCCAGCAGCACTGGCGAACATGGCGTTATTGCTTTACTTACTTCATCCTTGGATCATGGCGGTCCTGATCGTCGCAACTCGCGGTACTCCGTTTGAAGATGCCGGTACCCTGTGGCTGCTGTCGTTGGTTGTCGGCTGGGCACTGGGTCTTTGCAGCACCATCCAGCCCAGGAAGCTATGCAAAAGGCGACGAGAACCAAAGTCACTGGCAACATGCCATGGCGATTCTGAAGGCAGCAGCGGCAGCAGCCAGGAAGAATCGGAGACCTGAAGAACAGGTCGATGCCACAGCGACTGAGCCGTAGCGCTTCTCCTCGCACAGGTAGCCGCAGATCCCTTGCAGTCAGTCTAACGACTTTCTCGAGCAACACAGGTTTGCCAGTTAATGAGACTTTTGCCCACAGGATGTGGCCAGCCCAGCATCAGGTCAGAAATGTCATGCAAAGCCTGCTCATTTGTGCTTGCACCGATGAAAATAACTAACCACGTCGACGCAGACATTCATTAAAGCCTGATTGCGTCGAGATCATTTGCAACTGAATCCTAACAGGCATGTATGTACATATATATATATATATATATATATCTCTCTCTCTCTGTGCACACACGCACGCACACACGCACGCACGCAAGCACCCACTCACGCACGCATGCACGTACGTACGTAGGTATGTATGTATGTATGTATGTATGTATGTATGTATGTATGTATGTATGTATGTATGCATATATGTATACTGTGTGTTCATACTTACGGTGTACATGAGAATCAATCACGTACTGCGATACACCCCAAGCCGAAGACCCAATCTGCCGGCCAGGCCTTCATGCTTCACAACTTGGGCCAAGGCTTTGACCCCACACCGTGGCTTTGATGAAGAAGCTGCACAAGTACCGGTGTCAACACAGGGTGTGGGTTGGAAGATTTTGTTATCGCTTTATTCCACAGCAAGACTTCTGGTAGGTGGTAGCTGAAGGACCCGCATCATGCCTGAGCTTCCCAGCTCTCAGGTACATGGCACAGGCGCAAGCGCAGCAAGCTGCCTGGGCGCCTGGGGGCGCCAGGGGAGGAGAGGCTGCAGGGCCACAAGGCTTCGGGTAGGTATGATTGAAGAATCATAGTCATCATGTCACATCCCGAACCTAGTTCGTAAAGAGATTCAAAGCTGCAACCCTGGAGACATCTTGACACAACTCCCGGGTCAGCAGACTTGGAATCCATTTCATTTTCCTTTTTCTCGAGCCCTTGTAACTCTGAACCCAAACAGTCGATCATTCTGTTGAAGGAGCTGCCCACTACAGCCAAAATTCGCGCTCCCAGGCCGGTTCCGCAAGAGGATTGGAGGCTTCGGTTGCTTCAAGTAAGAGGTGACTGGTTCTTGCGGATTCTTCTCATGGACCTCCCTGGACCCTCCGGCAGATGCTGAGATCTAAGGCACGTGGGAGCGACAAGAGCGGGGAAGGACGATGCTCGATCTCAACACTGCAGCTTCTGAGCTTCCTTCTTGCAGCCTGTCATCAAGAATTTGGGAAGTCGTGGTCGTCGCATGCGAAGCAATAAGTTGTTTTCCTGAGATATGTATATATATATATACATATGAATATATATATATATATATATATCTGTACATGTGCACGTATAAGTGTGAATGTAAATATGTAAATATAAACATAAAGATAAATTTAAATATAAAATATAGATATAAGTATAAATATAATTTAAATGTAAATACATATATATATATGCATATACACAGATTTGTTTAAACATAAGTTCATATTGTATAGATATAATATCTCATGGCAGCAGGATCTGCAGGTCATGTCTTGCCAGGGTCCGTTGTCCTGACTACGGACACCATACAGACTGCGATAGCAACAGATTGCGCGGGCTTAGTTCCATTGTTCGGGCTTTCTGGGCAGCTGGGCCCTCAGGTTCTCCGCTGGTGGCTGGAGTGATGAGGGGCATGGAGCCACCTTAGCAGCGTTTCACAGGACTCATCTCAGCCAGTGCGTTCCGAAGAATGCTCCTGACACTGACTCGTGTCGAAGAGCACAAAATCATGCAGCAGTGAGGTGGGTACGAGCTTTGGGTCCCCAATTTTGCTAGAGGAAGCATGTGCGGCAACACTCTGATATTGCCCCGTGCGACATCTTCTGAGAGTCATGTAACATGCATCTCCATCCTAAGCGGTGCTCGCAAGCAGTGTCCAGCGAGTTTGTCTCTCTTGTACTCGGCTTATGAGGTGCAAAGTACGACAAGGGAGGCAAGATCACCTTGCACAACGATGCCCTCCGTTGGGCAGGGGACTTGCGTGAGGGTCCCCCTCCCCCCTTTCGAGCTACCGTACTCTTGTGGTCTGGAACTGAATGACGAATGACGGCTGTGGATCTGGGTTCAACGACTGTAACCACAGCTTCGGCTTGGGTACTCGCCCCTCCGGTGTCTGCTGTTCCGGCCGTTAATATTACACTCTAATCAATCATGTCCTCAACAAAATCCCGGCTTCTGCAGAGGTTGTGAAGCCAGCAGAGGCTTCCGAGCGCTTCCCCCCTGGGTCCGAAGTGTCGCCACCTCAGGCTCCGTCCTAGAAACCTTTTTTTTAAGTCCTGAAGAAGAAGGTGGAGGCGAAATCAGCATGATGGCCGACCCTCTCCTTTCTTGAAGCAAGCCGTAGAAGTCCTAAACGACACTAAAACAAGCTTGTCCGGGAGTGGCAAAGACAGAGCAGTCCAACACCTGCATGGATGTCTGGCTCGGTCCCCGAGGTATCGCAAAGTTGCCCTCATCTACTACCTGACAAAGGCATCTCATGTGCAAACCCTCAAGCTCATCACGTTCGGCACGGGGTCTTCAGAAGGATATTGATGGATGTTGCCGATGGGGGGGGGGGGGCTGTTTGGACATCATGCCGAATTGAATGTGTGCGCCCTTAGAGAATGCCCAGCACGTGATTCAACCAGCCCTGATATTTAACATGCGACATGATGCGAAGCTCTTCTCCTTTCTTGAGTTGCAAGATTGGCGCCGGTGGGCCACGATTTCCGTCTCAAAGCCGGTCCGCCGCCCTGCTGGCCCAAGACTGTTAGGCAGATTGTCGAAGCAGGTATGCTACGACACTTGGTCACGTACGGGACTTGGGACTGGATCACATGGCACGCCAGCTTACAAGTTTTGGGTCGTAGTGTCGAAGTGTGCAGTAGTGTCGCACCCTCGCCAGATGTTGGGAGCCATGATTCCGGGCCTCGGCGAGGTGCTGGTGAGTTTAGGGCAAGTTCGGGGTTGAAAGGGTAGGTTTTACACGACAGCTTGCGTTGCTGGCCACGTGTTGTGCGGCTTAACACGGCTCTGTGTCCAGCTTGACATCCTCAACCCTCATGTTCCCTGCGTGCTTGAAATCCTCAACCCTCATATGGCCTGCGTGCTGAGAGCTTTCATTTTCTTTGCAGTATCTCGGCTCGACCATGATTCGGTGCCGTTGCCGACATGGCGATGTACCAATACCTACAAGGCTACCTACTGTGAGGCACCCTAACGTGCCATGGCTGGGCTCACAAAACAGAGAATTTACGCCACTGGGGTGTGTTTGCCATGGAGTTGAGCGCTAGCCCCTCGCGCTTGGCACATGGCCTCAGGAGCTCTTATACGTAAGTGCACAGGTGTAAGTATGCGTGTAAGTGTGGCTGCGGTAGTGCCCGGTTGACACGTTTTTGGGCGGGGGCTTCAGAAGTACCTGCTTGGAGATGGGCTATGGGCGATTGGGGGTCAGCTGCATGCAGTACCACGATCTGAGTGCACCGAGGAGCTGGAAGACGATCCTGAACCCGAAGCCTGTCAAAGCCTGTGAGTGCCGAAAGCCCTGCATGGAGGTCTCAGGTCATGTCATGAGGTTTGCCAACTAAGGCCCGCGCGGCCGTATTCTTCTGCTACCTGGGAGTGGTGCAGGCTGTCGGCTCTGTGAGTTAGTCATGAGGTTTGGATGTCAAGAGGTGAGGGTTGGGCTTTAAATTTAGGGTTTAGGGAAGTTCGGCTACGGTCCCAGGCCCTGTCGACAAAAAAGAACCTGGGGGTTGAGAAGGATTGGTCCAACAAAAGCTGGCTTTAGTTGTTTAGGTTGTAGCACATTATTGCTGATTGTGCGTTTCGTTTGTATTTCCTTGGCTTTTTGATTGTTGGTCTTGGTCTCTGGAAAGGAGGGGAACATGAATGAAGCAAGGCAAGGAAGAAAGAAAGGAATCGCCCCATGCACCTACCCACATCTTGAAAACGACCCTCTCACACAAGGGAGAGTGACTAACTAGACCCGATAAGCACCCAATTGTGCGGATGGCCAAAACTTGAAGAGCCCGCGGCCCGATCGCGCATGCGCCTTGGCGATGTTTGAAAAGGGCAGAGTGCGCTTAGGGTTTAGGGTTTAGGGTTTAGGGTTTAGGGTTTCGGGTTTTCTGGCATTCCCCACCCAGCCCAGATGGAAAAAAGGGTTTAGGGTTTGGGGTTTAGGGTTGAGGGTTGGCGTGCAAAGCCCAAAGCGCAGAAACAACAGCCCAAGACCCAAAAAGCTTCAACCCGAATCCTGAATCCCAGAGAAGCCCTAAAACTCCCTCCACCGGTGCCTTCCGGGCCTTCGATCCTTAAACACCCTACTTTTTTGGGGGGTCCCTTTAAGGGGATTCTGGGAAATGCCCACTTGCTTCGCAACTGCATTCCTGCCGCGGCCCCAAACGATGGCAGGCCAGTTGCGCCCTGTCCTTCCTTGCGCTACTTCTGGGCTTCCGAGTGAATCACGGGCTCGTGCCAAGGACTGCAAGAGGTAACCGACGTAGGATTTTTGCAGGCGGTGTTAAACTTCAGGATTTCCCATGCTCGACTCGCAGCAGGACGAGAAGCAGTAAGCCCCCCCTCCACTGCTGGTGTTGCTGAATAGTATAGTTATGTAATTCCCCTTATTGTATAGGATAACAATACAGTAGTATGTCAAAAAGAAATCAGCAAAAAGTAAGAATAGTAATCTTGGAATAGAAGCGTGTCCCTCATCCTGAGACATGAACCCTGGAGCCTGCGAGAGTCGAAACCCTCCACGGCAATGGCCGTGTGTGATCTTTCCAGCTGGTTCGTTTAGGGTTTCGGGTTTGTAGGGCCTAGATTCCTGAAAGGCTCGTAAACTCTCAGAGAGAACCCGACGGAAGCTCTAAACTACGCAAAGAACCAGAAACCCTATTCACCCCCACACACTTCCAAAGCGCAGCAAAGGTGGCCAGTGCTATGCTCCGTCTGCTGCGCACTCGCTTTGCAACCTTTACCGGCTCATGCCAGGCTCTCTGTTGGGTTTAGGGTTTAGGGTTTAGGGTTTAGGGTTTAGGGTTCAGGATTTAGAAACTGGTGAGTCATTGCAGAAAATTGGAGCAAGTTCATTCGAGACTGGCGCAGGTGCTTGACACCGGGAACCCCATCATCTACTTGTCAAATCATCGGAGCACCTCGGCACAGAGAGTCTGAGAGAGAAGTTGACGATGGTCGTGGAGAAACCGTCCCCCCTGTCTAACAGCACTTTGAAACTTGAGCCCATTTGAGCCCGTGGCATGCTTGTTTTTGTCTTTGAGGATGCACCTATCCCAGAAATGGGGCGTGTACGATACTTAAAGGTACTTTATTGGGGTCCTTACAAGAAGGGATCCTACTATTTGGGGGGGGGGGGGGGGGGGCTATATTAGGGGTCCCCCCAAAGGTACCCATTGCTTCCAAAGACCGCCGGACTCCATAGAGGCTTCTCAGCAGGCCTAAACCCTAAACACTAAAACCTCCTGAGTCGACTCTGGGACACCTCCCATGCCTTGCGGTTCGGCACTTTCCATAGCACAATAATTTAGGCAATATAACCATGACTGTTTTAACAGTTTTAAGAACAACATCATGTAATGATCTGATACTATATAGCAATTGCAATATTAGAACAACAGGATAATGGAGCAGACAGTCAACGAGTAGCGTATTTCAGCAGCCCGGCTGGGTCATCGCGGATCCATACTCTCGTCTTGGCATCTTTTGCCAAGCTACGTCGCTTTCAAGTGCTTCCCGCCAGTTTCCCAGAAGCGTGCTGTCCCAAAAGCTCGGCTTCCCGATCTCCGAACTCCTCCAGCATGGGCATATCACGATAAATGTGCAGCTATTCGGGTGTAGGATCCAAAGTCATGCCAGGCTCGAGTTAAATCTGCAGAAGACATGGAGAGGTGTGTTCCCCAAAAAACCCGCGTCACGAGGTTGGGGCGACTTTTGGACAGATTGTGCGCTGCTGGGAGGACCCTATTTTTTCAGGGTTCCTAAGGGAGGGGGGTTCAACGGGGGGTATCCAACCCAAGGTTCCTTAATATTACCCGCTATTCCCTAAGGCTCCCGAGGCTTCCCTAAAATTCCGTAGGTACCTAACCCCCACGAACCCCCCCCCTCCCTCCCTTAAGAACCCTATAACGCCAGAGGTTCACAGCTTTTAGGAATTGGTAGAGATTATGTAGGCTTGGGGCGAGCCTATGAGTGTGGAGTTGTAACTTGGGGAGTCTTTGCTGCACCCGCGTGTGCCTCTGACGACCACTTCAAAGTGGTCGGGGCCTAGACGCACCTCATTCCTGGAGGGCTTCTCAAATAGGGCTTAGGGCTTAGGATTTAGGGTTTAGGGTTATAGTCATAGTAATCAATAGAATGGTCCATTCTGATCCTGTTTACCTCATCAAGGGGACCAACCCTCCGAACTCGCAACCGTTGAGGACCCTCCTTCATCTCTCGCAGCCTTGTGGCGCTGGGTATTCCAGGTGCCCAGGTTAGTTGCAGAATTTGGCTGAAGTTCAGGGACGCAAGATGGCGTGCGAAGTGGAGAGGCTTGAGGTGACAGCGGGGAGTTTCAGGATCCCTGCCCGAGAACCCTGTGACACCCTTCTAAAGTCCTTGCATGGGAATAGCATCCTGCCCTCCTGCCCCCGAAAACCGAGCTACTGAAGCGGGCAGTAAGGAAGCAGGCGGTGGCCTCACATTCTATTCTGAACCCCTTCCAGCCCAAGAATTCCGAGTAACGCAAGGAATCGTCCCGCAAGCTTCCCGTCAAACGAATCGGACTTTGACCTCCCCAGCCTCGTCCAAGGGTCAGCGTTGTACGGCCACTTTGGCGGATGGCTATGGTTTTTCGAGTTGCCCGGCAGTGAATGATGCCTTTGTTGTTGTTGTTGTCCCTCCCCCACTAGGCTCGAGCCCAACAAATGTCACAGCTTGTTCATACCGGCAGGCGCGGTGCAAAGCACGAGGGAGGTGCGGTAGCATGGATGACGAACTTTCTGAGCCAGCGCCGCTCGGAGTCTGATGAGGTTTGTGCCATTGGCTGGTATGGGCCGAAGAAAGAAGCGGAGGCATGTAGACAGCGTCGCATTGTATGCCCCCTTCAATTACCTATCGGCTGTGCAACTTTTTAGTACAGAGTGCTTTATATGGACCTATTTCGAGTCTGAGATTGTCTGAGGTATTCGCGGCTTTCCATGGAAGGGGGTCGTCTTGTACCCAGAGGGCACGCGGACCCTTCTTCCCGAGGCAGGTAGTTCGAAGAATTTTGTTTGGACCAGCCCTAGGCCCTGCAAGGAGTAGTCCAGGTATTGACTGCTGATAAACGCCTTACAGGTCCTTTCTATGTCGTTGGTGTTCTAGCCTAGCGTTCCATCAAGGCTGGGCCGTACGAAAGCCAGTAAACCAGCACAGGAAACGTGACTGGGCGGTCGTGTGCGCCTTCTTGCATTGGATTGGAGGGACTAACTTTGAACAAAGGGTTG